ATAAGACTACAAAGTCTATCATCGACCTGCGACCTAGGCTGCCCTGGTACCAAGTGTACCGATGGGCATCCTTATGTTCGAACATGGTGTTTGTTATGGCCAAACTGCGGCTTGCACAGAAGTCCACTAATGAAGCACCACTCGAGTTCAGATCAGGCGGGCCGTTCCTCCCAATCACACCCCTCCAGGTCATGCTGTCATTGCCCACGTGAGCATTGAAGTGCCCCAGTAGGACAATGGAGTTTCCTGATGGAGCACTATCTAGCACTCGTCCCAGGGACTCCAAAAATGGTGGGTACTCTGAACTGATATTTAGCCCATAAGCGCAAACAACAGTCAGGACCCGTTCCCCGACCCGAAGGCACATGGAAGCTCCCCTCTCGCCCACCGGGGTAAACCCCAACACACAGGCAGAGAGTCTTGGGGCTGACAAGAAGCCAGTTTTGAAAAGTTTTGAATTTGCACCGTCTTTCTGACATCACTCACTCCTGCCTATAAAGGACACAAAGACATATTTTGAAAGATTGTTACTGTTTATATTGACTGTTTATTCAATAAATTAGGCCTGCTGTTCAAACCTTAGCTCTTTCATATCTTTCATATTCTATGTATTATACTTACTGTACACACCACATTACACTTTACTGCTTTTTTAACATAGTTGGATGTTAAACTGCATTTTGTTGTTCCATTATTGGTCATTTTAGGTTAGTCCAATCATCCAGAAACAAGATTCAGGGTAGATGACTAGGCTAATATCTCCCGCTAACACCACAGACATATTGGACCTGAAAAAATATTTTTTTTCTACCTCAGAGATAAGTACTTGTAGTTGTTCGCTACCATTTTAGTCTGGACTGTACGTAGCATTACTATGATAAATATATACTTACCACTTAAATTCATTCTAGTTATTAATTTAGCCGTGTTGAATTCAATTTAATTACGTTAAAAACTTTGTTCAATGACCATGCCAGTCCAGTTCTCACTGCCTCCTGGCTGCGGTCTGTGTAGCTAGCTAAAAACAGTATGAATAGCTGAGGCTCTGTCCTCTGAGCACATACTTAGTATTTTTGATAGAATCGAATTCATGACATTTTTCTCATTCACATACTTTTGTTTCTGCTGTCGGACGATAGAACTAGTATGAATTACTGAGTGGAGCGCGGGTCCGGTAGACTACCTGCTATCCGTTGCTATCCCGAAGCTCTCGTCATGTTCGCTCGTCTCAACGCATGAGTGAAAAAAACAAAAGCTCTCCGCTGCTCCTTTGTCGCTCAACAGAGAGAAAGAGAAAAACCTCTCGCTCTATAAACTGAGATAAAGCAATACTTGTGAACAGAGTCGCTACTTTTGGCCCTTCTTTGGAGAAATAAATCTAGGGGTGAAAAATCTGTAAATCTAGCAAAAAAGACAGTTGGAAAAACAGAAGTGGAACTGGAACTGAAGGGGAATATGCAATCTGATTGGTTGGAGGCGTCATGTGGGGCACTGTGCCAGCTAGATGCAGAAATGAAAGGAGAAGCGCTACAGCCCAATATTGCCCAAAATGTTTAATCCGTTTGTTTATCCACAAGGAGGGAAAATTATTTTCCAGGACAACTCAAAAATTTCCAGGACATTTAGCAATTCCCCCCATTTTCCATGTGTCTTCCATGACTGGAAAATTGGACTATCATTTTCCAGGTTTTCCAGGTTTTCCAGGACGCGTGGGAACCCTGCACACACACACACACACACACACACACACACACACACACACACACACACACACACACACACACACACACACACACACACGTCCACACACACACACACACACACACACACACACACACACACACACACACACACACACACACACACACACACACACACACACAAAAGACGCGTGTGACCAAGCCTCAATATACGACAATTCGGGATGCCCAGTAACTGGCTGCTGCCGTGGATCTGTTGCTGCCAGGGCAGATGGCTCCGCTGATGATGTGTCGTTCATTACCTGACCCATCTGAACTCAGCCTATTGTTTACTCTGGTGTTCACGAGTGTGTGTGTGTGTGTGTGTGTGTGTATGCATGGACGAGTGTGCGGGTGATTGTATGTCCACTTTTGGAAGTTGGGTGCGGGAGGGGAACTGTAATTTTTAATTGTTTTATACTTGGGGAGGGGGGCTGGGATGGGAATGTGGGATCTATGGGGCCATTTTAATCTGTAAAGCACTTTGAGTTGCATTTTTTTAATGAAAAGTGCTATATAAATAAAGTTGATTTGATTTGATTTGATAAAAGGCATCATATAAATACAGACTATTTACCATTTGAGTGTCAACTGATGACACAACATCTCATGAAATTGTGTGAGAGAGCACATGACTCCATGTTTATCTCCTTAGTCTCCTCTTCAGGCTGGTTTTTGCGTGACCTTCAGTTGATTCTTCATCACTACCTTCTCTTCATTCAGCTGCCTTTCCTGGGATCCACTGAATACCTTTTGTTATTTGTTTTCTCTTTCCATTTCCTTTCATTTTTATCACAATTGTTACTTTTTCCTATTTTATATATTTTTAAATCATTTGACATTCTTTTTCATTTTTATATTTCAATTTTTGTTATTGTCAAGCACCATGTGATTTTTATCTTGAGAGGTGATATGTAAAAGATTGTTTGGTAACGCTTCCTTTTACAGTCCCCTAATTACTAAGTACTTACATAGTAAATACATAGTATGTTCTTAAACTATTATTACCATGTAACTCAGGTTCAATTCTAGTTTTTAGTTTTATTAATCATTCCAGTAAATACTGCTTTACACAATAATTACACTTTACCTTCTACAGGTGGTTCAGAATGCCTGTGCTCGGCTTCTGACCAAGTCCTCCAAACACACCCACATCACCCCGCTTCTCCTCCAGCTTCACTGGCTGCCAGTCAACTTCAGGGTTCACTTCAAGATCCTGGTTCTGGTCTATAGGGCCTTACATGGACAAGCACCATCTTACATTGGTGATCTTCTTAGTCCCTACACCCCCAGCAGGTCCCTGAGGTCCAGTGACCAAAGCCTACTGGTTGTGCAGCACCAGGCTAAAGGCCAAAGGTGACAGATCATTTGCTGCTGTGGCCCCCAGACTCTGGAACTCTCTCCCCCTGAGCCTGAGATCAGTGGACTCAGTGGTCTCCTTTAAAAAAACAGCTGAAGACTCACCTGTTCAAGCTGGCTTTTGTATGACCTTCTTCACCTCTCTCTCTTTATTCTGCTCTCCCCACCTATTCCACCTTCCTCAGGATCCACTGATTTCCCTCTTTCCTATTCACTCTCTCTCTTTCTTAACATTTTTTTTAAATCCCAATTGCCTATTTTTGCTCGTTTTAAATATATTTTTAAACATTTTCTAAATGCTTTTTTATATTTTTACATTTTTTTGTTTTTGTGAAGCGCCTCGTGATTTTTATCTTGAGAGGCACTATAGAAATGATATTTTCTTCTTCTTTTTCTTCTTCTTTATTACAATTATACACTTTAATTACAGAATGATGAACTTTACCTTACTACGTAATTACCATGTAAGTACTTAATAAATAGGGGACTGTAAAAGGAAGCGTTATCGATTGGTTTTTCTTCTTCATATTCAAGATTTCACCAAAATGGTGATAACATGCATGGATGCTTTCTAATCTCTACACTTTACTTCTGAGTGATTATTATATTAACCACAAAAAATAATCTTTTTCCAATAATTAATGTTTTATTTCTAAAAATATATTTTAAAATGCTGTGCAAAAACAACAAATTCCATATAAATAAATAAACTTTTTCTAAAAATAATACAAATTGCTGTGCTGAAAAAACAACTTTCATATAAAATAAAGTATAAAATGATTCAGCAGAGGAATACACGTGGTTGTGCATTTATTATATTACATATTTGCTTGTGCAAGCTGAAGTTGGCAGATGAGTGTGACAGTCCTTCTCTCTCGCTGCTCATTATCCCTCTCTGCTAAAAAGATTCTGTTGTGCTAATTAATACATAGAGCAGTAAAAATTAAAGAAAGATGGAGAAGAAGGAAAAGTGTGGCTTTGTTGCAAAGAACAAACAAAGGAACAGGCATAAAAATGAGGTTTGGAGATGCATAAATGGGCTGCCATGAGGTGAGCTATTTTCAGAGTAAAAGAAAATTGAAAAAGCTACATTTCTATAAAATGTGTCTTTATCCTCAGGAAACTAAAAGTAGTGGGATAAAAAGTTAATCGATGGAGACAGAGATAGTCTATGAATGCTAAAGGAATGGAGATTTGCTTTTGACAACAAGAAGATTTTGTTGCAGGCCCGCCGTTGGTCTGTGGATATAGTGTTTAGTATCATTCATAAAGCCTCACATAAAACCTGCAGCTTCAGCTTATCTGAGCATGACAAAGAAAAGGAAGATTGGACATTGGTTGTTCGTTCAACAAAGTGATGGAAGCTGTGGTGACCGAACAAAGCAGGGCTGAGCAACAGAAACCAGTCACAGAAAAGTTGTGATCATGAAGATTGTGCATCCTACAGAAATGGTAGAGAAAATGTGAGTTGAGGTGCAGATTACTTAATGCAGATCGTAAAGAAAATAGAAGTGGGATTATCTATTTAGGTCCCACCAGCTGACTGTAGTTTGTAGAGACAAATGACCTGTTTTCAAAGAACATAGTTTATGTGTAAATAAATTTCCCTTCTAGTCTACCTTTCAGTGTTGATGAATGAAATCTCAAGTCTTTTGCCCTTTCCTAGTAAAATACAAGAGTTAGTGAAAGCTGAGAGTGAGCTGGGTGTAAAGGAGAAGTGTAAATACAAAGATTTATGGCGTTTGGTATAAAACCTAAAAGCTCTGAGAAGAAAAACAAAAAAAAAATGGAGCATTTTTGAAACTTGTGAAGGAAACGGATTCTGGTTTATTGTCCTACAGGTGAAAAGGAGCTGTCGAAGAAGTGTGTTACTCAGTAAGCTCAACAATTCAAATATGTTACCTGTAAATGATGCAGGCTGTCCTCTGGCAGGTCGGACAGTTGTTTATGTCTTGCCCGGTTCTGTATGAGCTGCGACTGCAGAAATAAGATATAGCCATGTTCAGAAGTGGTCCCTCTCTCTCTCACTCACACACACACACACACACACACACACACACACACACACACACACACACACGCATGCACGCACGCACGCACGCACGCACGCACGCACGCACGCACGCACACACACACACACACACACACACACACACACACTATTTGGTGCTTAAGCAACATTCGCTGGTTCTAGGAAGCCTTTTCAAGAATAAACAAGACTACAAGGATGGAGAGTGTTAGTTGGTTAGACTCGTGATGACTACCGTGTCCAGTTTTTGTGCCAGATCTCATTGCTGGCTTTGACTGAACCATTACATAAAAGAGTAACTGTTTCATCGTAGTGAAACTGACTTTTTAACGTGATGTCACAGGCTTCATTCATTTTCTCTAACACCAGTCTCCATGGCAGACCAAAGCATCATTGAAGACAAGTGTTTGCTTCAGGAATGGAGAAGAACACAGCATCAACATTTTACCTCAGCTGATGCTTTTATCACAAAGGCTCACTTGGAAGACTTTAATTTCTGGTGCAGCAACAGAGACACACATCCCCTCTAAAGTAGCTGTTCTGCTCCTTTTTTATGTTTGTCTTTCATTTTCATTTATTTGTCTCACCCTCTCTTTCTTCACTCTCAGTATCTCTCTTCTGTTCTTCATGTGATGCAAGCACTCAAACACACCTAGTGTGTGTGTGGCTTTAGGCAGGCTGCTTAAATATTAGGTCTTATTATGCATCTTAGTCATTAATTACAAAGTAATCTGGATTAATCTTCAGCAAGTAACATCTGTTAACTCTGAAAGAAGTAGGAAGAAGGGAAATAAAATGGAAGGAGAAATGTGCAAATGTTAAAATATAAAATCTAAAGCTTAGAAAATGTAGAAAGTAGAAACCCTGCCAGAATTTAGGTTACAAATCAATTTTAGTTAAAAGATAAACTACTTACAAAATATCTTATTTCCTATGATTTGTACAGTATTATCCTTATGCAGACAACATTAAGCTGTGCATAAGTGTTTGACTTACCTTTAAATTATTACCTCAGATCGAGTTTCTAGATCTTTGTAAACAAACATGAGTAACCAAGGGTGCACCCCAGGGGTGGCTATGGGTGGCCAGGACCACCCCTAGAAAATTGCTGGCCATCCTACTGGCCACAACAAAGGAGACCAATGTTCTTTAATGAATCATATTAACAAACCATAAATTCATATTGTTTAATCAGACATAAATGTAAAACCCAATAGAAATTATACAATTAAAGAGTAAATAAATAATCAGATAAAAAGTAGACATATTTGTCCTGCTCACCATTTTAAAAACAAAAGTTTAAATCTATAGTTTTTGTGGATGTTTTTGTGTTCTCCAAATTCTACAATACGTTTTAAAATAAAAGTCCAGATAACAGTTTGAAACGTCTTTTTCTGAAATAATTGTTTTCTACAAATTTGAATTCATATTGGTATTGTTATTAATGAAAAAGAATAAAGGAGCATGCAATGCATCACCACAGGCTAAACTGTCCAAGAGTTACCACACAGACCAATCTGCCTGTTACCCACAAAATTTTCTCTGGCCCCATCTGGCCACCCCTATGAAAATTATCCGGGAGCGCCACTGGTAACCATCTTCATTTAAAAAATAACAACATACCTAGAGACAAACAGAGATGAATGAATAAAACTTCTTATGTGAAAAGACATGATCTGCAGTTGTAGGTTTTCAAAAATTATATAAACGTGAAGATTTGAAAAGGAAAATAAAATAAGCTGAAACTCAGAATATAGCATAGTAAGGTGCAGCAGTGGAAGTGGAAACAGATAAATTGCTTGGGGCAGGTTAGGAAAAACAAAAATGATGACAAGAGAAAAATAATTAGCAGGAAAAAAAAAGGTAAACGGCATATCGTCCCATTGGGACCACACACTCTTAAGTCAATAAAATAGAAAAATAAGGATGTTAACATTGACTAAAGGGAAACAGAAATCATCAATTTAACTTGCGTCACACTTGAGCGCACACACACACACACACACACACACACACACACACACACACACACACACACACACACACACACACACACACACACACACACACACACACACTCGCACCGCAGTTCTCTAGACCGGAAATTTACAAGCTATTACACAAACCTGAAAGCCTGTCTATTTATATTGCTATAAAAACTCAAACATGCTCTTTTCTCAATCTTGCACACTCCCTTGACAATCTCTTTGCTCCCTTTCTTTACTTTTTTTATCACTCTAGTGCACTCTTGCTTGAGCAGTGGTTCTGCAGTGAATACCTATCTTTATCTTCGTCTCCTCTCTTTGCTATCTGCGTTGGTTTCTTAACTTAGCCAATTTTACACTTCATTCTTTCCTTTCTCTCCCCCCTGCTCTCCTTTATGTTTGTCTTTCTCCAAATCCCATCTCTCACCCTTCGCTGAAGGCCTTGCTCTTCTCCAGGTCTTGAATCACATTGAGAAGCACCTTGATCTTCTCCTGATTGGACAACAGGTTCTCTTCCACATTCTGTAGCTGTCTCTCCAGCCCGTGTGGTGCTTTCACAGCACGTCCATCAAAAAGTCCTCCTGGAGCTCCGTTACATTGTGCTTTCATATGAGTCTTGCAAGGCAGAGTATGGTCTTCGGCTGATTTGCTCTTCTGCTTTGTGTTGATCTGTTCTGAGGGTTGTTGGGATGCATTTGTGGTCTCCTGGTTTTTGGTTTGCATTACCGGTGTAGCTGTTTTAGAATTATTAGTCATCTGGGGGGATCCTTTTGGTGGAAGACTTGGGATGCTGCTGGATTTTGAGTCGATATGAATGGAAGGCGTTTGAGGCCTAGAGGTACTGTGGACTGCTGTGTGTAGATGCTCATCAGTTTTCTGGATTTGAGGCTTGTGTTTGTCAGGTAAAGGCTGTGTGGTTGGCTCTGAACTGTGTGTGTAATTTGTGTCTGTGCTCGCTGTGCTGTTGTGTGGATGTGTTTCTGTTGTTTGCGTGGCTGTGTCTTTGTAACAGGTAAATTCTGCTGATCGTGGCCTCGCCGGCTGCTTTGTCTCTTGACTTTTGTCCTGAGCTTGTGCTGTGCGGTTGGAGTGTGAGCTGTGTGTTTTTGGTATAGTGTGTGAGAGCTGCGGTATTTGAGCAGTTTTTACTGATGTGTGCTGCTGTGTGGCAGCTCTGTCAGTAGTTTTGGCGCAGGGCTGGGAATTCAGAGCATTGAAGGCTTTTCTGGAAATTGCAGATGTTTTCCGTGGTGGATTAGGTAAAGTCTGACTTGCTGTGATTTGACTGACAGCCCTCTTGCGACATGCGCCAGTGCACTGCGTCACCTGCGATCGTCTCCTCCCACATGTCCCACAAAGGCGATGTGGGGAATTTGTCACCATTCGGCATGGCCGAGGTGGAGTAGCGTGTACGGCCGTACAAGCACTCCCTGTCTTCAACACAGAGCGGTGACCTTCTCCTCGCAGAGATTGGACTCTTCTCTTCTCTTGTGCTGGCTCTGTAGCTTCTGTGGACTCGCTGCAAACCCCGCCCACCAAATCAGAGGCTACCACACTGCCGTTTGTATAGCGAGCTGTCTTTTTATCTCTTGGATCCTTGGGGTTTCTTTGGATGGTCTTGATTTGACAGTAAACTCCACTACCAGACCCCTGTGACCCCATGTCGTCCTGTGTCAGGCTGTTGATCTCGTTCTGAGATGTCTCTTTGGACACCAGCAGACTGTTGCTGTCACTCCTGATAACTTCTCTGGCCTCTGATGTCATTGTTTTGTCTGTTGTCATGGTGAGGGGCTGATGTGCATTGGTTGGTTGGCTGCCCTGCCGTTTGATGGATGGGAGAGTCCGCAGTCTTGGAGATGTTTGCACCCCAATGCTGCACAACGGGGCCCATCGCCCTCCAGCCAGTGGAACTCCCAATGCCGGCACCGGATTGGTTGGTTCAGCCACCCTCCTGCCCATGCTCCCCTCCCGGTTGGCTCAGCCCCCGGAGGAGCTGAAGGGGATGGAGGTGAGCGGTGACATCAGCCAACAGCAGTAAAATTATATCCAACAGAAAACCAAAATGTTCCAGCTTTTGTTTATCTATTCCAAGTGTTTGGGTATTTGTGGACAGGAATCCAATATCCAATAAACTTTTAGAACTCTTCCTTTAACCTCTTCATGGGTTTAGCAGCTTCTGATTGGACATCACTGTCAGAACCTTTCTTAGTTTCAGATCATTTGCCTGCAGGTTATCTTTGCATTTCTGGTTCATTCTGGAGATAAAAGAAAGAGAGAGACAGTAGATGAGAAATACAGAAGATAATAAATGCTAATATCAGCAAGAAGACAGACATTAGGCACAATGAGCACCATATAACAGCTTTAACCTTCACTGAATGCTTGCACTGACAAGATCAATAGAAATATATCAGGTTCTTCTAACCCAGTAGGTACCTGAGCCTTTTACTGGTGGTACGTCTCATTAAAGACAAAAACAGCATTTAAAATGATAATAGCGCGTCTTAAGCTGTGCTACATAATAAATCCTACAAATGTCTCTTTTTATGTTGTTGTGGTATTTTTAACTAGATGACACTTTTAAAGTGATACTTTTTCACATTGTGGTGTTTCCTTTGATTAACAAAAACGATTAAAAATGTATATACAAAATGTATTTGAAATCGGGCAAGGCAGCATTATTTGAATAGCACATTTAATACATGAAATTCAGCAGCAAGAACATTAAACATTCAAATCAACGTGACAACATAAAACAGCAGATTTTAAAATCACATTTGAAAATACACAAAGAAAGTTTGATGTAAGAATGAGATTAAAAAAAGCAAAGTTAAAGAGTGAGCAGTTTACAGTGCAGAAGGTTCACCATAAGAAACAATCACTCAAAGGCTGATCCACATAAAAGTCAATAAGAAAGCAGATTCCATTTGTGTGCAGCATAGTAGCTAAAATACAGCAGAAGCCTGTTTGGTTCTGACCGGGGGTTCGACCAGCTGACCGTTCCCTAAGTATTTCAGAGCCCTGCTGGGCATGTATACAGGAAGGATATCCAATATGTATTTGGTCCCACGCCATTGAGTGATTTATAAACTGGTAGAAGTACTTTGAAATGAATTATGTAGTTTACTGATAACCAGTGTAGAGATTTAAGAACAGGAGTGATGTGCTTGGTTCTCTTGGTTCTTGTTAAGACTCTGGCAGCAGCCTTCTGAATAAGCTGCAGTTCCTTCACAGCCTTTTGGGGAAGACCAGTCAAAAGACCATTGCATAGTCCAGCCTGCTGGAGATGAACACACACATGAGTTTCTCTAGGTCTTGATGAAGTCAGTTATGATACCAAGAATTCTAACCATGGTCTTTGTTCCTCTAGAGCCAAGTTGAGCAATAACCTCCATCTTATCCTTTTAATCTCCAAAGACAATAACTTCAGTCTTGTATTTGTTTGACTGCATCCAGTCATTAACTTGCTCCAAACACTGACAGAATGAGTCTAGGGGGCCACAGTCACTAGGTGATAGAGCTAGGTAGATCTGAGTGTCATCTGCATAACTATGATAGGCAGTGTTGTTATACATAATAATTACAATGATAGAGCTTCTTCATGTCTGCTCTGTGGTTGACGTTGGGAATATTTTACATTCGACACAAAAATATGTCAGTGTTATCTGTGAATCAAACTTGGGATGTGAATTCAAACTTCCTTTGAATGTATGAAACAAACAAACAAACAAACAAAAAGAAATCCATCACCATATGGCTGAATGTTCATTCTCAGTAATCATGTCAGATTCCTTGCATTTAATTTTTTTTTTGTTTTGTTTTCCCACTTCTTTATGGGGGGGGGGGGGGGGGGTTGTAGTTTTGGGAGGGGTCTTTATTCCAAAATTGAGTACTTTATTAGCATTTAAAACCCCCAAAGGTGTAGCTTATTATGGTAAAAATCAGCTGACTTAGCATTCAAAACCTGTTTATGATCAGAAAATGTAATAATGGTGTTTATGTAAAAAAATATAATAGCTGTGTCATGGTTCAAAGTAGAAAATTAGAATTTATGAGGGAACGCAACCAAAACACTTTAGTAAAGTCACTTTATTTCACATAAAATCAGCTCTGAGTGTGTAGCGACACTCTGTGATTATCTATTAAAATTGGGACACGATATTATAGCATTAGCTGTTTTACCATTAGGGAATTGGGTCATTGCAGTGGCTGATATTTCGAGGCTGAAATGACATATGGCAGGGAATATTTCAAACCACAAATATAATTTGTCCTATTGTAAGAGCAGACAAATAATTGGAGCTATATTTTGTCTGAGTAGCTTTCATTTAAGTTAATGGAATTGCATAATGAGACACATTTAGCTCTTTGAGTAAATGGAGGAGCAATGCAATTTTCTTATGCGGCCCTAAATTAAATAATCATTTTAGATGTTACAATCCAAGTTAAACATGTCTGCATTATTTCATTGTTAGGTTATTTGGTGCAGGTGATGTTACAGTCAGCTGCATCCTTTCTCAGTGGGATTAGAAAGGAAAGAAATTGATTTTATGTCTTCATTTATATTAATTGTCCTATTTACACAATTGAATTGTTAGGGAATTGAAGTCAGGAAAGGTGTTTCAGTCCTGGAAGTTCAGGCATGCACTTACAACATAAATTCAGAGAGGAAACAACAAACACTTGAGTAGCAAAGCTTTGCAGGCTGGTGAAGAGAAGAGGAGTCTCTATTCAGCCAGTCTGGCTAACAGGTTCTGAAACATTTTGATTAAAAAATCTAAGAAATCAAGCATTTAAAATTTAAATTGGTACACTGGCTTCATCCATCTATCCATCCATTTTCACCCGATTATTCGGAGCCAGGTCAAGGGGGCAGTAGCCTAAGGTGAGAGGCCCAGACTTCCCTCTCCCCAGCCATTTGGGCCAGCTCCTCCGGGGGAATCCCAAGGTGTTCCCTGGCCAGGTGAGAGACATAGTCCCTCCACCGTGTCCTGGGTCTACCTTTAGGTCTCCTCCCGGTTGGACGTGCCTGGAAAACCTCCCCAGGGAGGCGTCCAGGAGGCATCCTGACCAGATGCCCGAGCCACCTCAACTGGCTCCTCTCGATGTGGAGGAGCAGTGGGTCTACTCCGAGCCCCTCCCGAATGACCGAGCTTCTCACCCTATCTCTAAGGGAGAGCCCAGCCACTCTTCGGAGAAAACTCAGTTTGGCCGCTTGTATCAGCGATCTCGTTCTTTCGGTCACTACCCAAAGCTCATGACCATAGGTGAGGGTAGGAACGTAGATCGACCAGTAAATCGAGAGCTTCGCCTTCTGACTCAGCTCTCTCTTCACCATGACAGACCGGTACAATGCCTGCATCACTGTAGATGCAGCACCAATCCGCCTATCAATCTCACGCTCCAGTTTTCCCTCACTGGTCAACAAGACCCTGAGATACTTAAACTCCTCCACTTGGGGCAGGACCTCTTCCCTGACCTGGAGAAGGCATTCTACCCTTTTCTGACTCAAGACCATGGTCTCAGATTTAGAGGAGCTGATTCTCATCCCAGCTGCTTCACACTCAGCTGTGAACCGCTCCAGCGAAAGCTGAAGATCACGTTCTGATGAAGCCAACAGGACCACATCATCTGCAAAAAGCAGAGACCTGATCCTCAGGCCACCAAAACAGATGCCTTCCACACCTTGGCTGTGCCTAGAAATCCTGTCCATAAAGGTTATGAACCAAATCGGTGACAAAGGGCAGCCTTGGTGGAGTCCAACTCTCACTGGAAATGAGCCCGATTTACTGCCGGCAATGCGGACCAAGTTCTGACACTGGCCATACAGGGACCTAACAGCCCATATCAGAGGGCCTGGTACCCCATACTCCCAGAGTACCCCCCACAGGGCCCCCTGAGGGACACGGCCAAATGCCTTTTCCAAATCTGCTAAACACATGTAGACTGGTTGGGAAAACTCCCACGCACCCTCCAGGATCCCCCTAAGGGTATAGAGCTGGTCCAGTGTTCCACGGCTAGGACGAAAACCACATTGCTCCTCCTGAATCTGAGGTTCAGCAATCCAATGGACCCTTCTCTCCAGAACCCCTGAATAAACCTTACCAGGAAGACTCAGGAGTGTGATCCCCCTGTGGTTGGAACACACCCTGCAGTCCCCCTTTTTAAATAAGGGGACCAGCACCCCGGTCTGCCAGTCCAGTGGGACTGCCCCCAATGTCCACGCAATATTGCAGAACCGCGTCAGCCAACACAGCCCCACAACATCCAGAACCTTAAGGAACTCTGGGTGGATCTCATCCACCCCTGGAGCCTTGCCACAGAGGAGCTTTTTAACCACCTCAGTGACCTCAGCACCAGAGATTTGAGAGGCCAACCCAAAGTCCCCAGACTCTGCTTCCTCACTGGAAGACATGTTGGTGGGATTGAGGAGGTCTTCGAAGTATTCTGCCCACCGATCCACAACGTCCTGAGTAGAGGTCAGCAGCACACCATCCCCACTATAGATAGTGTTTGTAGTGCACTGCTTTTCCCCCCTGAGGTGCTGGATGGTTGACCAGAATCTCCTTGAAGCCATACGGAGGTCTTGCTCCATGGTCTCACCGAACTCCTCCCATGCCTGGGTTTTTGCCTTGGTGACCACCCGAGCTGCATTCCGCTTGGACTGCCGGTACCCGTCAGCTGCCTCTGGAGTCCCACAGGCCACAAAGACCTGATAGGACTCTTTCTTCAGCTTGACAGCATCCCTAACCGTCGGTGTCCACCAGCGGGTTCGTGGGTTGCCACCACGACAGGCACCGACGATCCTGCGTCCACAGCTCCAGTCGGCCGCCTCAACAATGGAGGCACGGAACAGGGTCCATACAGACTCAATGTCCCCCGCCTCCCCCGGAACATTTTGGAAGTTCTGTCGGAGGTGGGAATTGAAGCTCCTTCTGACAGGAAACTCTGCCAGACATTCCCAGCAGACTCTCACGATTCGTTTGGGCCTGCCTGGTCTGACCAGCATCCTCCCCCACCATCTGAGCCAACTCACCACCAGGTAGTGGTCAGTTGACAGCTCCACCCCTCTCTTCACCCGAGTGTCCAAGGCATGCGGCTGCAGGTCAGACAAAACAACAACAAAGTCGATCATCGAGCCAAGAGCACATGTGGACACCTTTATGTCCGAACATGGTGTTCATTGTGGACAATCCATGACTGGCACAGAAGTCCAATAACAAAACACCACTCAAATTCAGATCGGGGGGGGGGG